TAAATTTTCAAAGATCACTATACGTACATTTATATACTAATACGTATAAATAAATGTGAATATCGTTAAACACTTTTCCCTATATATATATATATATATATATATATATATACTAGCATATTTCACCAAGTATTTACGCACGCTGTAAAATTCATTTTGTCCCTGAAAGGGTTAAGGCACCACACACTGACCAGACACCGTCATCACTTTTAACTTCCCATTAGCCTAGTAATAACCTAGTGGTTCTCGGCATTCTTACATGCACTTGATGCTTCCGCGTTACCTTTCCGTTACACATACACACTGTATGCATACATTAACAAGTCTGTTACGTAAATATGTATGCTCATATCGCAATTTTACTTGCTTAAATGTACCCTTTCGGTTTACCTGGTTATTTGCATTTTATTTGTTTATTTGCTTAGATGCGATCGCTCCATTGGCCGCCAAGGTGGAGGCGTCGCTCTTTATGTGAGTTGTAAACTCGATGTGTTGAGGACTTGGGTGTTCCAGTCGCCGGATCAAACTGTTGAAGCTCTCTCGGCTATTGTGTGCACTTCCTCCGCTCAGTTTACAGTTGTAGTGGTATATCGAAGTCCTGGTAGTATCTCCAGGGAGGTTATTGAATTTATTCGTACTCAGGCTGCCAATAGGTGTCTAATACTGGGTGACTTCAACCTCCCTGAAGTCTGCTGGGCTGATCTATCTTGCAGTTCGGCGGTGGGCACTTTCGGTTCGGATCTCCTTGAGCTAACATTGCAACTGCCTTTGCATCAGTTCGTGGACCTCCCGACTAGATATATGCGCAACCAAATTCCGTCTACCTTAGATCTCATTTTTGCGAAGTCACACGATTTCGTAAGTGATATTGCCTACGACTGTCCTCTAGGAGCCAGTGACCATGTCTGCATATCCTTTCGATGTGCTCTAACTAAGTGTCATCAAGCTACCGCTGAGGCATGTCCAAATATTTGGCGGGCAGACTTTAACGCAATACGAGCCAAAGCTTCAGTTTTGCGTTGTGCGATCACCGTGGCTGACACCGTTGGGACAGCCTGGGAGAAATTTAAAGCGTACCTCACTGAGATCTCTGCTCCCCACATCCCATTCACTAAGAGAAGGGTGACACGGGCGCAGCCTCCATGGATAGATCATACAGGTAAATACCTGCTCAGGAAGCGCTCTAAGTGCTGGCGAACCTACCAAGCGGCTTCATCAACCAGCACCTATGAAAGCTATCGAGCGGTTAGAAATAAATGTAAGCATCATCTTAGAACTCTTCGTCTTCAGTACGAGGAGGATTTGGCTAACGCAGCCGTAAAAAACCCAAAGAAGTTCTTTGCTTACGTAAAGAGACGTAGCGGTACAAACTCGTCTATACCGGCTTTACTACGAGCGGACGGGACCCATGGGCATACCGACTACGATAATGCCTGTATACTTAGCGAACAGTATACTGGTGTCTTTTCTCATGAGGCCTCTCTACCTCAAGTTGAGCTGGTCACTAAAGTTCCGGAGGATTCTTGCCTAACTGAAATAAGCATAACGGAGACACAAGTCTTCAGGCTATTGCAAGGGCTAAATCCTTCCAAAGCTTCTGGCCCTGATTCAATTCATCCGAAGCTGATGCATGAATTGGCCGCTGAGCTAAGTGGCCCTCTGACATGCATGTTTACAATATCACTCGACAGCTGTGCCTTACCTTCTGAATGGAAGAAGGCAATCATCTGTCCGATTTTCAAGGGCGGGGACAGAGTTCTGCCCGCGAACTATCGGCCTGTCAGCTTAACAAGCGTAGTAGTTAAGTTGTTTGAAAAATTGGTCAGGGATTCGGTGGAGAATCACCTGATTAAATTTAACCTTCTCAGTGCGGCCCAGCACGGATTCCGTAAGGGATTTTCATGTCTGACAAATTTGCTTGTAGCTCGTGAAAGCTGGACTGAGGCAGTAGACAACGGCCACGCCATCGACGTGCTTTTCGTTGACTTCTCGAAAGCCTTTGATACTGTCCCACATCAGCGACTCTCATTGAAGTTGAGATCGTATGGGATATCTGGAGCCGCCCTTAAATGGGTTTCTGCTTTCCTAGAGGGCAGAGAACAGTGTGTACGCGTGGGGCGTAGCCTTTCGCTTAGACAAGCTGTTCTTAGTGGCGTTCCGCAGGGCTCGGTTCTAGGGCCGTTGCTTTTCGCAATTTATGTCAATGACCTACCCGAGGAGCTTGGAGTACCGTCGCTATTGTTTGCTGATGACCTCAAGCTCTGGAATATTGTGGATATCCCTGGTGGCTCTGAGGCACTTCAGAGTGCTTTGGATAGGCTCTGGGATTGGTCAACCTTATGGTTGATGCCCATAAATCAGGCGAAATGTTCTGTCCTCCGCATTGGAGGTGCAAGTCCTCCAACGCGCTATGTAGTTGGTGGAAGTGAACTCCCTGTTGTCATTCAGCAGGTTGATCTAGGTATCACCCATACCTCCTTGCTTCACTCTGGGGAAAATTGGAGGAAGGCTGCTTGTAGAGGGTTCCGTATGATGTGGTTTATTCGCCGCTCCTTCGGTGTCCTAACGGCGAATATCTTTGTGAAGCTTTTCTCAGCTTTCGTGCGACCTCACTTAGAGTACTGTATCCAGGCTTGTCCACCTTGTCTTGTAAGGGACAAAATGGAACTGGAGAGGGTTTTGCGAGAGGGTACAAGGTTAGTGCAAGGATTACGGGGGCAAACGTATCCCGAACGTTTGCTTAGCTTGGGTATGTACTCAATGCACTACCGCAGAATTAGAGGAGACTTGATTCTCACTTACCGTATCTTAACGGGTAAGATTGGTCCAGATTTATCCCGGCTATTTAGTCCCGCCAAGCTGCCTAGTCTCCGAGGTCACCCGTTGAAGCTGCACAAACAGCGTTCTGACCGGGTAAGGACGGAAACTCGCTTGTCGCGTCGAGTTATTGAACGTTGGAACTCGCTTCCAGCGCACGTGGTTAGGGAGTCTACGGTAGAGGGTTTCGAGCGTCAATTAGATGCTCTAGGGTGGCAGTACCAAACCTTCCCCTTCTCCTAACCGACCTGTATCTTCAACTTTCCCTTCGTTCTTTTTAATCTTCTTCTCACCTTGGTATTATCATTATTTAGCTGACATTCCTCCTTTTCTTTTCTTAACTTACCCTTCACTCTTTTACTTCACATAAACCGGCCCGGCAGGGACTGCTGGGCAGGAAAATGTGGGCAGTAATTGGTTGGACAGGGTGTGATGCGGTCTTTGTTTTAGGCTTTTCAACATCTCAAGCAGACCTGTCAATTCCCGATCCAACGATACGCAAAAGAAGGAACATTCACGGGATTATCCTATCGTTCCGGTCCCAACTGAACTTGAACTTGAATTTGCAATGCCATTTCCTTTGTATCCCACAGATTTCCCGGTTCACACTAACTTTTATTCCTAGGGTTATCCAAAAGCGAAATGGAACCGCGTAGGTTGAAAGAGGATTTTATTGAGAGGTTTAAGATCATTAAGGGAATCAGTGGTATTAGTCCCACCCATCTGTATGAGTTTGCTATGTCGGACCACCTGCGCCGACATCGCCTGAAGCTCAAACATCATAGAGTTTAGTTGGACATCAGGGCAAAATTATTACGACCCGAGTAGTTAACATCTGGAATAAACCCTACTGATTTAGTGCAATGTGTCTGTAGAAGTCATCAAAAGGGACTTAGATGAGTGTTGGTCTGTCCTTTTCCCAGAGATATTGTAATTGTACCGGAATACGTAGTGTATTTTGATGCTGACACATGAACGTGCAAAGATTGACCTTGTTCTTGCTTCATCCCTTTGCCGAAACAAGAAGAGTCAATCCAACGTCGAAGTGCCGGGGTCGCTTTAGTTACCAGCATAAGAAACAAGACGCTCGTTAGGCGAAGGCATCTATCGTCCGCTGTGCCTGACCTGACCTGTCATAGGACACCATGTGAAGTAAGCATAACATACATTTCCGGTAAACTTTTATATGTTACCTTAATATTTGCAACTTTTTATTTACCAACTCGTTAATTATGCAATAGCATACGTCACTGTACTCCCGAAGTACATAAGAAACAGACTCTAAATAGGCCAAAAGTACACCGTGCGGTTTGGTACAGCAAGTGGTGGTCTGATGGTACTGATCAATTTAGTGATAAAACAGATAATGATTGATAACAGCTTTCATCTAAAGTTGCGTGGCTGCGTCGCCATAGGTTTGTATTAAAATGCTTAGGTGACGTTACATTTTATTAATTTATAACAATTATTAGCGCTTATCACTACTGTAAAGTGTATAATATACTTTAAATTTAAATGTTTAGTTATATTTATTTATTTCTATGTTAATTTAAGGATTCTTAAAAAGGTGCGTTAGGTTTGTGATCAACTTTTGTCATTATGATGCTCACTCAGTGTTGAATGTAATTTCATTATTACATTATTACCGATCTTATTTTTGCCTTGAGGTCTTTCGTTTACGCAGGCGTTAGTTTTCTTAGTTCTTTTTAGTAGTAACTTTGTTCCTGCTATATACCCACCTACAAATGTTCAGCTGGTTTTGAGAACGCCAACCGAAAAACGTTTCGCGCTAGTTCGTTAGTTACCATGTACCCTTTGCTCACATTCATGCCTTCGGTAAACCGCGTAGTTGTTATCATGGTTACAGTGACCATACGAATAAAAAAGCTGCAGGACACCGCCTTCCATGAGCATCTGCTGCAGGTTTATTTAGGTTAATATCCAGCTTATTTACTGCATACTAATATCCACCTTACTATAATAAGCCCGGTTGTGCCGGTTCAGCTTGGCCTGCACACCCATTCCCGCCAAAGTTGAGGCCAGGTTGTAACAAAATCAAAACCAAAATGTGCGGTTGAACTTTTTACCACACGGCTTTATTCTTGCTGCTTAGGTATTTTTGTCAATATGAGTCCATTGCTCTACTTTGTAAGTTGATTTCGCGCTGTTTGACAGTTGGTTGGATGGGTTGGGGGGGGGGGGGGGGGGGGGGGGGGGGGGGGGGTGGGGGTGGGGGTGGGGGTGGGGGGGGGGGGGGGGGTTGGGGGGGGGGGGGTTGGTTGGGGGGGGGGGGGGGGGGGGGGGGGGGGGGGGGGGGGGGGGGGGGGGGAAAAAAGGGGGGGGGGGGGGGGGGGGGGGGGGGGGGGGGGGGGGGGTTGGGGGGGGGGGTGGTGGGGGGGGGGGGGGGGGGGGGGGGGGGGGGGTGGGTGGGGGGGGGGGGGGGGGGGGGGGGGGGGGGGGGGGGGGGGGGGGGGGGAGGGGAGGGGGGGGGGGGGGGGGGGGGGGGGGGGGGGGGGGGGGGGGGTTGGTGGTGGTGGTGGTGGCGGGGGGGTGAGGGGGGGGTGGGGGGTGGGTGGGGGGAGAGGTAGGGGGGTTGTGGTAGTTGGGTGTGGTTGGGGGGAGGGGGGGTGGGGGTGGGGGGTGGGGGGGGGGGGGTTGTGGTGGTTGGGGTGTGGTGTTGGTTAGAGATGTTTGGTGAAGTAAAGTGTAGAGTATTGAGTTGGAGGATGTAAATTGGGTGATAGGTTGAATGAGTGTATATTTAATAAATATTGATTTTATTGAAGGAATTAAATAGGGTTTCATCGGGTTGTAGAGAGAGATTTAATTTGGGGTGGTGTGGTTGGTTATCTTTGCAGTACTTTTTCGTGACAAGTATAGTTGGATAAGGGTAAATGATATTATAAGATCATAAGTATTTACAGTCGCTACAGTACTCCCCTAGAGTATACACTAGGGAGCCGCTCGACAAAGTGCCTACATAACGTACTGAGCAAGCATAGGCGGAAGGAAAACAACGAGACCAGAAAGTGTGTGTGTGGAGCTGCGTGTAGTCGGAGGGCAAAGAGGACTCGGTGTGCGGGCGTCAGTGTGTTGTTTGGTAGGGGGTAATGAGTCATGGGCGGGTGTATGCTGAGGGGAGGAAACGGGATCAGTACTATCGACTGTGGTTTCAACGTAAGCTGGTTTGAGTCGGTCGATGCTCACGGATTCTTTTGATCCATTCTTATTCAACACGAAGTACTTGGGTTTCCGTGATAAGACCTTATACGGGCCTTCATAGGGCAGGGTTAAAGGTCTTCGGACGGGGTCGAAGCGGATGAAAACAAACGGACACTTGTGCAAATCGGGGTGGGCTTGCTGTTTACGTACGTTAGGCCGCGTAGACGTTGGTCGAATGGATCGAAAATGCTGTTTGAGACGTTCAGCGTACGAGAAGTGGTCTAGTTCGCCCGTGGTGCGAGAGTCCAGTACCATCTCAACAGGTAGTCTGGGGGTAGTCCAGAACACGAGTTTTGCAGGGCAGCACTTAAGATCATCTTTGATTATATTGCGATTACCAAGAAAGATCGCAGGTAGACGCTCAGACGAGCGTGAGTCGGACGAACTGGCCATGAGGGCAGCTTTTAATTGTCGATGAAAGCGCTCGACGAGGCCATTGGCAGCGGGGTGGTACGCGGTTGTTCTTAGGTGAGTACAGCCTAATAAACGACTAAGATTACGGAACAGTGTGGTACTGAACTGAGTCCCTCTGTGGGTAGTGATGGTGGATGGAACACCAACTAGAGAAATCCAAGATTCAACAAAAGCGCGGGAAACAGACCCTGCAGATGGATCACGTAAAGGAACAGCTTGTGGCCAACGTGTAAAACGGTCAACACATGGTAGAAGATAGGAGAAACCATTGGAAGTAGGTAAAGGTCCAACCATATCTACATGAGCGTGTTTAAAACGTGCGTCCGGAAGCGAAAATGTACCTGAATTGGTTACTATGTGAAGGTGAACTTTACTGCTTTGGCACTTAAGACAATGTTTAGCCCAATGTCTAGTGCCTGAACGCATATTGTGCCAGAAGCAGCGGTAGGTAATCAGCTTTACGGTGGAGCGGATTTTTGGGTGTGAAAGTGCATAAAAATGATCAAAAATGGTTCGACGAAATGATCGTGGGACAAAGGGTCTAGGCTTACTGGTTGATAGGTCACAGTAAACTCTCATGTCAGAGTTAAGTACGGGCAGTTATGTGACTTTCAGTGAGGGGCTTGAACGAAGTTGGACAAGCTCAGGATCATCGTTCTGAGCGGCCGCTATTCTCTCCAAGTCGATGGGCGTTGACGACAACTGATTCATAGGAGCGCGAGACAATGCATCAGCAACAGCGTTGTTTGAACCGTTGATATAACGAGCATCAACATAAAACTGCGATAGTCCAGATGCCGCGTTTCTCGGGGTGAGCAACGGTCCGACGCAAACGGAAAGCGTACACCAGTGTCTTGTGATCTGTCAAGAGTATGAAACGATGTCCTTCTAAAAGGTGACGGAAATGTTTTACAGTCAAATATATGGCGAGCAGTTTACGACCAAAGGTGCTGTACCTGATCTGAGCAGGTTGTAGCTTCCATGTGAAAAACAACAGCGGTTGAAATTCGTCATCAACTAAGTGTTGCAAAACTGCACCGACGGCGGAACTTGAAGCATCCGTCTTAAGGACAAGTGTAGCGTACTCAGTGGGTTCAGGTGATGGAGAGAGGTAACCTGACCAACCTTCTGCTTGACAGCCGTGAAAGCTGCTTCAACTTTTGGGGTTATGGTTAACGTCTTTGAGTTTCCTTTCAATAAGTCGGTTAACGGATGAAGTAACTCAGCACAGTTGGGGATGAACCTGCCGTAGTGGTTGATCAGACCGAGAAATCGGCGTAGGCTCCGGACAGATTGGGGCATCGAATAGTCGAGGATCGCTTGAGATTTATCCGCGAGGGGTTCAATACCTTCATCATCGATCGTGTGACCGAGAACTTCAACCGTTGGTTGACCAAATTTCCATTTGTCCGGGTGCATCGTTATACCGTGGCTTTCAAAGCGTTCGAAAACCATTCGGAGGTATGATAAATACTCGTCGGGTGTGGCGCTTGCTATCAAGACATCGTCAATGTAAACATAGACGAAAGCATGGCCCCGGAGGACCTGATCCATAAAGCGTTGGAAAGATTGGGCTGCGTTCCGGATGCCGAAAGGCATACGAAGAAATTCCTAAAGGCCAAATGGAGTGATCACAGCGGTTTTGGCGATGTCCTCCTCCGCCATGGGAATCTGGTGGTAAGCTCTGACTAGGTCGAGTTTGGTAAAGATCGACTTTCCGGCTAGTTCAAATGAGAAATCGTGGATATGGGGGATAGGATACCTATCCGGAATAGTTGTATAAATAAAACTAAACATTTATTCTCGACAAAGCGAGGCACACCTTTACAGGCATGATCATGTTTAGCTAACATGGTGTGATCAAAAATGTACAAAAGTACATGTTTGGAATAACAGTGTATGTAAGTGTATGGGTGAATATACGTATGTAATTGTGTATGAATATAGCTTGTGTCTTTGAATGTGCCGGAGCATTTTTGACTTTTTGTTATCCTCAGGAATGTGAGCATAAGCGATTGATGTCCGTGGGTTGGATAGCACTTTCCGGATATCCACTGGCCAGTGACTTTAGTTTGTGGCGAGTCACATCCGCCACGTCGCAGTGTTGTTAAACATACATTTGTGGCTTTTTATATGGAGAACGCTTGCCAGGCGAAAACCCACCACGTCCTGGAACACTGCCGCCGAACTATTTGCTGGGACGGGTTAAACCCGAACCACCCAGCTGGCACCACCAGGAGGTTGTTCGGCTAGCCAGCCAGCACGGTAGCCACCGCATGATCACCAATCGCCTGACGTTTTTGACCCGAGATTGAGAGGTGATGCCCAGCAGCTGTTTGAAGGACGAACAATGCCGAGATCAGGCATGTGTTGGAATTCCTTTTTAACTGCCTGACGTTTGACAGGGCGCAAGCGTCGAGCTTTGGCAGTTACTGGCGGACCGGTTGTAACGATGTGATGGCGTACATCGTGTTTGGGGTGGGAAGTATCGTTACTCGCTTGAATGGAGGACCGGAATTGTAGGAGAAATGAGCAGTACTGTGAGTCGTCAGGTATGAGGATGCGAAGCCCGAGAGAATTGACTGAAGCAAGTTAGCAGGGGTGCTTGAAAACGTAGTATCGTCCCGTAATTTCCCACAACGTTGGTCGACCACAAAACCGAACATGCTGAGAAAGTCGATTCCGATGATGGACTTTTGCACATCGGCGATGTTAAAAATGGAAAGGAAGCTACGCCGTAGGCTGCGACTCACAGTAAGGAATTTCTGGTCCTAGGTAGCGATTTTAGTCTGATTAGCTGCCGTAGGCAATGGACCAGCTGGTTGCATGAGAGCGTTTTTCTAGAGAACGGGGGAGAACGCTGACTTCTGCACCAGTGTCAACCAAGAAGGGAAGTTTGGTTGGGGAGTCCAATACGTACCACAGGCGACTAATGACCTGGCCAGCGACAGTCTCCGTCATAAATGGCTGGCCATGTGGTTTCCCGACGTGGGAGTTGAAAAGGTTTTAGGGTGTTTACCCCCTGGACGGCACTTACGCGCTGTGTCTCCGAAGCGGTGGTGATAATAACCATAGCGGCGAGACTGTCGTGTACGAGAGCTGCTAAGATGTCTGGATCGAGAAACGCATCGTAGCGAGGGAACACGGTGGCGTCTGAGGTGGGACAAGGTGAGCTCTAGGTTAGAAAGTCTCTCGTTGATTGTATCAAGTAGCGTGGTTCCAGAGAGGTTGCCTGACCTACTCTCAGTGACGTGTGATACCGACGTATTTATGAAGCGTTCGTGAACTTTATCAGCAGCATCTGCCAGTTTGTCTAGCGGAAGATCGTCGGCGAGAACAGCTAAAACAGCCGTGGTAATCGCAGGAAGACAATTACTCTACAACTGGCGGAGAACGGAATCATCCAATATGGAAGAATCGACGAGGCAAAGCATGTGTCGGAGTAAACGAAACGGCGTTCTATCTCCAAGCTCAACGCCAGAAAGTAACTCCTGAAGGCGTGTCTCATCTGAGGCTATAGCGCGCTTTAATATGGCTGCCTTAAGTTTTTAATAGGGGGACTCCAGGGGCATAGGATCAAGGACGTCGATGACCTCTGAGTCGATGTTGGACGGTAGGTGAGCAGTCACATATGAAAACATTGTGGACTGGGATGTGATCTTACGAAAACGGAAAAAGCTTCTACTTGAACGAACTAAACACGTGGGTTGAAAACGGCAAATGAAGGTAAAATGAGTCCAAGGGTATGTTCCGACGCATTAATAGCGGGCAGGGGATCAGACATTGTGTAGAAAAAAGGAAAATAAACACAAAAATAAAATAAAAATGCGAGGTCACTAATTATATGGAGAAACCGGCAAAGGAGAATACTCAGTCAGTCAGGTTTACCTCACATATAAAATATCCTGATGCGCCTAAACGTCGGACAATCGTAAATCGCGAGGTACGACGA